AGAGACAAAATCTGAAACCGTCGGTTTATACATTCTGATGTAACCCTGTTGAATACTGTTGCATCTTACACATGTTTCAGTTGAGTTGGATTATTTATAAGTGCAAATTATCTGCAAATTGTTCATAGAAAGTTTAGGCTTAGTGTATTTTTTGACTTCATCTGCATTATTAGCTTATGATAAGCTCACGTGACATATAATGGATTTCTGAGAGGAATAGTTTATGGTTATGTTACTTAAATTATATCAATTTAGCTACTACTGTCAGTGCCTTCCAACTTATTATGGAAAAACCTGCGAATTTTTGGCGAACCAAACAAGTTGCAAGGAAAATTTGTGTCAAAACGATGCGACGTGCTACAGGTAATAGTCATACTGCTGGAAAACCTGATTAGATATTAGCTGATAAAATCTGCCTTTTTAGTGATAACTTTATTCGTCCTCCCTTGTGAGCAAGATAAAAGGATGCCAATACTTTGAAAGTGAACGAAAAATTGTTTTTTTAACAACATGCTCAGTATGCTTACAGTATCCAACAAAAGCGTCAAATTGTGACTACTATGGAAAAGAACGAAGATATGCAAAATTTTACTGATACAAAAGTGATACAATGGGTTCGATATGAGTACGTTTATTATATGTATTTTCGACCTCGGGAATCGTGTTGTTTTCTCCTGAATGAATTCCATGAATCACCTCGAATAAATCTTTCAATACTTAGGTGTTGGTGTCGGCAGGGTTTCACGGGTTCATTGTGCGAATATTCGGAAGAGTTGCGCGAATGTGAGCAAGATTATTGTTTACATAAAGGAGTAGGCAAATTGATGAACCCTACGGATGGTACCGCAGAATGTGATTGCCAGTGCCAAGAACATCATACTGGAAAAAGAGTATGTAACACTTCCAGCAAGCCATCTTTTCAATCTTTCTTTTCTTCATTTCATCAAATGATTCTTGATGGTATTATTTCTTCAAGGATTCTAAACCCAGAAATTTCCGAATTAACAATTTATCTGCGGAGATTATTCCTTGTCAAATGCAGTGTCTGTTTACACACCACAATCAAACAGCCTTTAATTGCAGTGTGAAATCGTGTTACCATGTAAAGACTATAGCTGTTTCAACGGTGGTGTCTGTATGAATGAACCTGTTATGAACAATACTGATGGAGAATTGACCTATAAGGCCAGGTGTAATTGTCCGCCACGTAATATTTATGGAGTTGCTATCAATTTTGAAGGTAATGAATATACACATATACTTTACCTACAGATGCTTCAACCTTTATATTTTATTAGTGTAATACGTCAGGTATTTGTGAGATGAACACGTCGTTAACTGTACCTATGATCACTTCAGGTGAACAGTGCGAACGATTAACGGTTGTCGATAATGAAAGGATCCATGATGAATGTTTCCCATGCCGAAAGAACGCGAAGAATTATGCAATTGATTGCTTGGACAAATATACTCAGAATACGACGTTGGGATATATGGAAGAGGTATGGCAAGTGTATATTACAATATGATAGGTAATTTCGGTTCGTCAAGATGAAGGATTTCTTGAAAGACATGTAAACACATTCTTGTGTGACTTATATGAGTTAGATACATGTATGTACTATTTATACATACTATAATAGTATTGATCTACTAATTCATTCAGATTCTTAAAGCTTGCGGCAAGCCATGCGAATCCGCAGCACGATTTTGTCTCAATGGAGGTCTGTGCAATGCCGAAGGACGTCTTGGTAATAAATTTGTTCAAAAAAAGAGAGGAGCAAATAATTTTCTCAATTATTCCAGCTTTCCTGTAATGTCTTATTGATCTGTGAACTATGAGATTCTTATTTGATACGCTAAAAAAGTGCATTTTCCACTTAATGCCTTTTTTTCGGTATTTATTATCCTTCACTTTCATCTCGAGAAACTAACAGTCAATATCTTCTCATATACAAATATGTTTCAGACGACGATAACAGAACATCTTATATAATTCCGGTTTGTCAATGCGTTGGTTTAGATGAAGGGATTCTTTGTGAAAGACATGTCAACTCACCATGCGATGCAACTACATATGATCCACGTACGCCCGGTAAGATTAGAACTAGAAGTTTAGAAGTTTTTTTGTAGCATTACACAAATATTTTGCAGAAGAAAAGTGTGGCGAGCACGGTACCTGTGTCGGTAAGACAATGCACGACTACGTATGTGAGTACGATTTCCATGTTTCTCATTTTTTTAAACTTAATGATTCTTAGCACATCATTTCACCGGAGTTTTATTGCCATCTGAAATGATTCTATGAGTTGGTTCATCCCAGCTCTGCAAAGACGCATAAAGCGCCATATAATTGAAGCTGTTATGGTGGTTGGACCGGAGAAAAATGCGATATTGAAGAACCATGCTACAACAATGCCTGTTCACCTGGTAGTTTATGTGTTTCGGTACCGATCGAACAGCGTGAAAAGTATTCTCTGGGATATACTTGCCTGTGTGAGATAAACCAGGATCCCGACTTCACTGGATCCAACAACAGTATATTTGCAAGTTGTATTACCGAAATAACAGTTCTTGTTATATCTGCATGATTTGTTCGAAACAATACAGTAAAATATTACTTCTACCATCTTTCTGAAATTATTTTAGTGTAGCTTTCCCTCCCTTTTTCCTTCATATAATTCTAAATAATAAAAAAAAAAAAAACCGAAGAAAACAGCCATTGGCTGTATTTAATTTCAGCGGTCAAGTGCATAAAAACCGATTTTGGTATATGTACCAATCACGTATGCAAGAACGACGGTCTTTGCTACTCCTGCGAGACGTCTGATCTGAATAATTTACAGCTTTGTTCCGACGAAGAGAAACGTCGAGGATTCAGGTCCACATTTCCACATTTTTTTTATAATTTTATTTTTAGCCTGCACTGTACCTTTGAAACTCCTCAGACTTGCTTTCCTACTATAAGTACATTCGTATAATTCTGTTCGACCAAAACAGGTGTCTATGCCCACACGGTCTACTATCCCCATTTTGTGAGAAAGAAGCAGATGCATGTGATCGAAACAAATGTCAGAACGGAGCAGAATGCACTGTCGATCCAGAAAACGAATTTAATTATATGTAAGGAGGTTATTTTTTACTGTATTCTTAAATGATGAACGAATTTTATATGGCAAACGTTGCTTCTATTAATGTCACGTCAAAACGAACCTAAAGGAATAATTTTTAGTGGGTGTTTTAGATGCCGCTGCCGTCTTGGTTTCAGTGGTACATTTTGCGAACAAAAGTTATCTCCGTGCATAATGCAAGGTGAGATAATGAACCAGGGGAAGCCTACAAGTTGTGATAATTAACTTCTGATTGTCACTTTACTAGAAAACCCAAGAGATAAAAGTACTGAAAGTTACGAGTTTATCGTTGTTTTGGAGTCTATTATTGTTAAGAACATTGATGAGTTTTGAGGGAAATACTTCATGTTTTCTTAGTTATCTTTACTTTTGATACATAATTCTAAACTTATAGTATTGAAGGTTTACAAATTTGTATGATGGGTACTTGTACACCAGACAGTAATTTTGTGCGTGGTTTCCGGTGCGATTGCGTTGATGGTTACGAAGGCGTCAACTGCAATTCACTCAAGAGAACTGATATTGCGGGCTTCATTCGCGTATGCTTCTCCTTTCTGATAGTTCCTAGTGTAGAACTACGTTTCTGTTTACTATTATCGATGAACAGTACAGATTTTAGTACAGAATGTGAACAGTACAGAATGTTAATTTCATAAACCATAGTTTGAATATAGGAAACTTCCGCTGAAGTTTGAGTGGTTATATAAAATGTAAAAAAATATAAAATGAACTCTGACATCTACAGAGAAATTATTGGTGGACATATCCGTCTATCGTTGGACTTATCCTTACACCAGTGGTTGCTATTCTTATTATTCTGTCGGAAAACCGCGCTAAGCGAGAGTACGAGTATAAATTAGCTGAGAAACGGTATCTGGAAGTAAGTTATACCTTTTAATGTTAGAAATGCGTAATTTGGATGCGTAGTATAATTTAGTAAATGGTATTGTTTATCTTGTTACTGTTTTCTCATCTATCGCAACATTATCATTCTATTTGGAAAGATTCTTTCTGAAATCTTTTTAGAATGAACCATGTAGTGCTGTGAACTTTCTAAAATTACTGAACATACTTAACAACCAAATCTCTTTTCGCTTCTCACTTTCCTTATTATTTTATCAACTTATCAGTTCTCATTAACTGTTAACATGGCGTTCAGGAGGCTAAACAACGTCAGAAAAAAATAAACGAGGAAAAATGTTCGGATTTTGGAACTGCAGGAACACAAATGAGTACGACCCAAAAATACAATAGCACTGAAATTTAAAGTCGGAATGAACACAACAATTTCAATACAAATCCAATAGAAACGCATTATTTTCTGCTTACTGAGCATCCTATAAATACGCTATGTTTTAAAAATGTGCAGTGTTTTGCTACGATTTTCGATTATCTTAAAGTAAGTGACACATGTTACTATGGACATTCCCGAAACTCTGTCACATAACAAGAGCAAGAACTATAACGAGCAAAAGTCGGAGAACTAGCAGCGAGTGGTTTCGATCCACCGACCTCTGGGTTATGGGCCCAGCACGCTTCCACTGCGCCACGCTGCTAACTCACCAAACTAAGAACCATACTATCCTTCTAGCGAATAATACAATGATTAATATGCGGACGGCCCCAACTACAATTCAATGATTCCAACAAATTACTAACAATAATTTCAGGTTACATAAGAACGTTTTTACTGAACTTCAAATTTATATAAAACATGCACTATTTCCATATATTATTTAGGGGAAAGGCATGAAAATTTGGATGGATACAATATAAATATATAAATACAACCTAAGCGAAATTGCATATCAAGCGGGTGAACACCTTAGCGTCATTCTTACTTTTAAATAGGGAAAAATCTGTACGGAGTCAATGCGAAGCGCCAATGAAATGTTTTAGAATTTCAATGCCACAATCAATAGCTTCATATAGTTTCATTACTTCCTCCACATTTTCGCAGCTTTTCAATCGTTCTGCGCACCATTTTAGTTTATCGTCGACTGCCTGTATCGCAACCTGAACATTTCCAGATCCCAGCAAATCAGCATGCTGGAACAGACAAAGAGTTCCATGTATACATTTTTTATAATAGTCAAGAAACTGTAGTAAATGATCTAGTAAAGAAAACATACTGGTGATGTGCCAACATCTACAGTGAGTCGTTCACTACGAACAGTTCGCATCGAGAAACTTCTTTCAACTGGCGAGTGCTAAAAAAACGACTCTTTAGGGAAAGAGAACAGATACAAGTGGACGTAGAACATCCAAATCATATAGGACAACCAACGATGAAGGAACTACATCGAGAATCGGAGCATCTGTTAGATTTTTTGTAGAAAAACAAAATCAAATTATTAGCTTACAAAAGGAGAATCCGTTGAAGGAAACTGCGCGGGTGGTTGAAAAACTTCATTACTACTACTTTGACTCATATTGCTGCGCTCGGTTGCAATATCAGTGAAGTCATTTTGGTCATCTGAAATCGACCCAAGGAATTACTGTTTAGAACTCCGGAAATATCTCACGCATTTACTTCCTTCTAGTTAATGAGAAGGATCTTAGAAAAAAAGAAGTATGTGGAATGTACCGTTATTTGAAACTGTAGTTCTGTTGTTCTGTCCTCCTGCAAGCTCTGTATTCACTAAATCACAAGCAACACAACAGCGAACTCCTTGGCGATCCTCCATTAAAATACCCTATAAACTCTGGAATTCTGCTAAACACATAACAGTAACATTAATATTTAGGATCTCTTTTAAAACGTAAATCATGTACGGCAATGAAAACTGCATAGAAGCATGTTGTTTCACGTCTATTTATCAATAACGCTTGCCAACCGAAAATATAAGCCTAAAAATAGAACTTGAGAGTGAAAACTTAACAGAATCCCAGGATGCATCAACTGCAATTTATTTTATGACTGTATTCCATAAACGAAAGAAGCACTTCCTACTATTTGTCTATGTATCAAACTCACCGCACATAACTCGCAGTATTCATTGAGCATAGTATGACCTAAAAGGAGTAATTCACCCATACGTGATGATATGTGGTCACGTAGATGATGTCTTGTTTGTTCCAATAATTGTTGATGCTCCTGAAAAAGATGCGCATGGGTGCTTTCCAGGAAAAACATCATTTTGAAATCATAACGGCTAGAGCTGTTGGTAATTAAACAGTGTAAACAGTGTAAAAAAGTAACTCAAAGAACAGTCCGAAAAAAGCCTTAATTGATTGCTAACGAGGTATTAATGGATCGAAAAGATTTATCAATGACAAGATAACTTTCTACCTGCGTTACTCGTCGCAAGCCATTCAAATTCATTCTTTCAACCTGGACAGCAATATCAGTTTCAGTTCCTGGTGGTTTACTCTTCGAAGTAGTATCGAACTGGTGATGACCCATACAAGTCTGCAAATGCATGAAAAAGAAAATAATTGATAGGACTGATCAGATTACGCTATAACGACGAGCATCTCCAACACTGCATATCATTCTTATTCACATCCCGAAATACCCACAGACTACTAGAAGTCACGAGTAATCCCTCTAAGGACACTGCGAAAACAACTCCCAGCAAGTCTCGGGAATACCCGGAGGAAGGGCCAGTTTACAAGGAGGCCTAGTCGTCAGAATGCTAATAGACAACCACGTGTGTTGCAGTCTCTGCTTCTAGCACACTATCTCGTCTTGTCATGCCTACGTGTGTACTCTTTCTTGGCAGCGCATAATCCTACCACTGCTCTTCTCGAAAATTCGAACGGGAAATTGCGGGAAGGTTTGAAAAGTGCATTTTGCATTGCAATTAATTGTGGTGAAGTGGCTTTAGATACAGGATGGGCTTTTCTGTCTCGATTTGTTAAGATGGATGTGAACGGTAAGGGATAGTGCTGAGGATTGTTCAGTGTAGTGTTTTAATCACAACTCGAAGGGGTTGAAGTCGTTCAATCAGTAGAATACCGATAAATGAAATATGAGCTTTTGTTTGAATGAACAGGTTGAAGTGATTATCTTCCAGTGCCATCTGCTATTATTCCTCCCGTACCTGTAAAATAGTGAATCAAGTAGTCACTGTTTCACATGAAAAGTTAGTTGGTGCCTAGTTGAATTAAGCAGTTATCAGTGTTTTAATAGTGATAAAATTAGAGTATTTAATAATAATATTATTAAAATGACTGTTACGAGTTGATAATTTTTTTCTTGTTTTTATACAGTTTTTGGTTATTTGCTGTTCTGTACGAACCGAAAGAGCACATCTTCATCCTTCATTGATTTTTTTTAATTTCGGATCATGGATATTACGAATGTGACGAGTTCTACACAGAGTTCCCTATGCATTCGAACTCATGAAAATTTCTGCACACAATTCTGTGCTCAGGTTGACAAATATGTTGCGAGTGGATGCCCTCAAAATAATGAAAAGTATGCTCAACAAATAATCAAGATTCTATCACAATTGTCAGAAGAGCATCGTTGGGTAGGTGATTTGTTTTAGAATATCTTTTTTTTAGCTGATGGTAGTTGTCGTGAATTTGAATTAACTTTTTTAGTCAGAAGAGTAGCTAATTTAGGTTAGTTAATTTTACTTGACTTACTTTAGGTTTGTAGAACTTGAACTGAACTTTTTGTTTCTTATCTGCAAGCGAGACCGACCTATACATGGTTTATTTTATTTATAAATGTGATTCGATAGAACAAATATATAGTCGGATAATTGAAACAGCGAAGGAATAAATAGTACTATTGAAAAGAAGGAAGAGAAGACTGCCACCGATGCTTTCTCTTTTATTAACTCATTAGAGAAGATTTTTATGGATGTAAGAAGTGGGCTGGCTTAAAAATTAACATTTACAACGAAGATAGATGTACATTTACTATTTGAGATTTAGATAAAGAATTCACTGTTTCAAAAAATGAAATATAGCAAAGGAATAACGAATTGGTTTATAGTAATGAATCATTAACATTATTCTAAACACTTAGTGTGTAATAAAAATTTTTCGGTTTTCCGACAGTAATTGTGGAGGATTATCTAGAACCGTTTTATTTTTATTTGGGAGAAGTAGGGAGAAGAATAGAGAGAAGACGATGAGAAAGGCGGCGATATCCTGGAGCCTGTTGATTGGATTTAAAAAAAATTTTTTTTTCAGCACAATTTCACGAATTTTGTGAAGCAGCAGTGCGGAAAGGATGGAGGAATGCTATTTTCGAATTTTGTTAAAAGCTGGTATGCTGCCATAGGTCATGTGAGCGCCGAAACAGATCACGTTTTACCAATGTTATTACTAATTATGGAAGTAGTGAAAGTTGATAATCTTGGATATGAATCCATTATAATACTACACAATGTGCTTGAAGAACAGGTTTATGTATTATCAAATAATGGAAGACAGATATCCAACACGGGCTGAGTAGTGAGGAATAAAATTTAGAAACGAGAAAAAAATTACATAGTTTTTATAGGTCTCGTGGCCATTTGACCATAATATCTGATGTTATTCTAATATATTATTCTAAGCTGTGCTAAGGGTTACAACTTTGTAATTAATAGATACAATGAAAAAAATTTTGGTTTTTTTTTTCTGATATTTAAATGATATTTATTAAACGGAGAACGTTAATGATATTATCATTACAACAGTTTTTTCAGATATATAAAATGAATGGAAATGATATAAAAGTTTTTGGTGCATACATTGTGGAGAATTTCATGAGCGGATTCATGTTAAAAAAAAGGTTCTTTTTCATATTTCTCGCAACTCTAAACACACTATAACATTAGAAACTGTTAAACGAGACAAAACTCATGAAAAATGGAAATAAAATATTCAAATGGAGTACTGATGTTTCAGTTGGTTAAGTGCCACAAGCATATTTCTTCAGTGTGTAGTGAAGTCGGAGAACAAGTTTATTGAATGGGAGGAGAATACTGTTGGTTGTGTGGAATATCGTGTATGCTTTTTGCTGAAACTACTAATTGATATTGTAAGCTGCAATTCATTTAAAGAGCTCGTCGTTGTGTTAAGGTAAAATACATGTTATTGCATATTTGATGGACCTAGCTTATTTATGTTTATTCGCTAACAGTGTTAATTTTAGAATGCATGTTATTACATATTTAATATGATGTTGCAGAAAATGTTCCTTGTATGATATCCTCAGTTTATTTGTGGAAGAAATGATGCATATTGAAACAACACCTGAAATCTGTTTGAAATTGATTGTCGTGCTTCCCGAGGTGATTAACTGGAAAGGAGAACAAGTAATTTTTTTGTAACGAGTTTTTTCTACGTTTTGATTTTGTTTGAAAATGAAAAAGAAATGTTACACAATTTTGAGTCATCTCGTATTCCAATCATAATTTAGTAATTATAAAAACTGGTAATATATAAAGCAATGCACTTTGTATAGACTTTTGTAAATATTGAGATATGTGATCATCTTTTGGCGAAAGCAGATTTTCCATTCGAGGATTTGTACATGTTATCGGTTCAACTTCACGAACTGTTCAACTCTAGCGTCACCATTTCAAAATTATTCCTTGCTCGATTAAAGGTTAAATATTTTGGAAACATTCAAATTCCTTTATAAATCTAGCCTTCCGTGCCTTAATACTGCATGAGTGATTCAGTGAAAAATGAAACAGTGCATGAGTGACTCAGTGAAAAATGAAAAAAGCTATCTTTTACATGCATATTTTTCTTTTAAAATTATATATGAGATTTTAGCGTAATCGGCAGCTTGTATCATGCAGTAAATTCGCGCTCATATGCTTACTTTCGCTATGCAGTATAACACGATATCGTTTGGTAAGTATGGCAGAGCTGAAGCAGAATGTCGTCAAACTACAGAAACATTGTGATCGGTTGAAAAGAAGTGCTTGGATTCGTGACGTTATGGGTGACTGTGATGTGGAAATTTTGAAAGGCAATTTAGATGCAATTGTAGAAGCTGCAGTTAGTGATACCAAGTGGTATTCTGTTATCGGCAATACACTTGAACAAGTTGCTCTCATGCTGCTGCTAGATAAATGCAATACTGAAATTAAATTTTCGGATGGCAGGTAAAGAATGTTTTAATAGATGTGCAAGTTCAACTTTTTTTAAGTATACTTCTGAGAGCTCATTTTCGTTTTTTGCTTCATTTACTGATATCGGACTTTGCTGTACGTTTCTGCAAGTTTTTTTTCCTCAGAAATATGAAGCAGGAGAGCAATAAAAATGCAAGTGAAAGAATTCATTGTTCAACCATAATGATTGCTCTCTTGCGAATGAATTGATAAAGAGAAAAGAGATCGTTTTACTGAATGATAGTTCCAATTCATATGTTGTTTTCCCGTCTTACGGTAAGAAGTGTCTTTTCGTGCTTCTTTTTTGGGAATTTATATTTCCAGTTAACATTTAGGCTTTAACAGTTTTTTTTTTTTTGAAAAATGGATGAGATGCGGAAGTGTTCTGTTAGTTTCAATTTATCCTAGCCATTGTGCGTCTCTTTTACCAAAGCTGTTTATTGCATGCTTTAGAATTGTGGAAAATGCAGGAACTATATCACTGGGGAAGTCAATACTGATCTCATTAGCAAGTATAAATGTAACATCCATTGGCCAGTTACTAGAAAGAATCCTTACAATATTGTTCACATGCGTTAAACAAAACTCTGCACTTATTTTGATTGGTATTTCGGTTTTTTTCCAATTTTTGTAGGATAGTAATTGTCTTTGTGTGAGTAATTTAAATGACCCTTCAGTATTACTATTATTTGATCTAGATGGAAGTAATCGTTGTGCGTTGTGTAGTGCCATTTGTTTCGAGATCCATAATCTTTTATATAGTCAAATATTACTATCATTTGCGGTTATCACAGTTTCAGATACGATTGTTGATATTGTATCGAAACAGACAGTGCATGTATTGAATTCCTGGAAATCATTGCGATCCTGGATGGACAGTATATGCGATTTGAAAGAGGTGATTTTTTTGCCAGTGTTTTTTCAAAGTTCATCTTCTGTAAAAGGCATTACTTATCTTTTTTATAGCTTTATTTTATTTCTAGAGATATGAAAAGAATTAACAGTAGTAACAAATCTTTCTTTTCATTTTATTTTAGACTATTGCTATTTCACTGGTTCGCGCTTTACTACCAGTTATTATATTACGACCGCAGTTAATTGCCATTATACTCAATCGGATGAAAAAACATGTATTATGTGATTCAACGGTTGCTACAGTCTTACCAATACTGCTTCTTCTCCTACGATCATCGACAATGCGTTCGGCTGTAAAAAGTGATTATTACAGTCAATCTTTCGCTACTTTTTCCACTCAGGTATGTTCTAGGAAAGCTCGCACATAATATAAATTGCAATTTTTTTTGCTTGTGTTGGAAATTTTATTTTAGGCTCTACAAAGCATGGGTGTTGAAAC